GGCGTTGGAACGAAAGAATTGGTCAAACTATTGATTTTTTATGAATTTATAAAGCTAGGTATCTTCCCTGAGCTGTCAAGTCAAAAGGATTCTTTCAGGCATAATATTTGTAACATTGCAACAACTTTAAGGATGTCCCCCCCCCTAATTTCTGTAAGGAGCATATGCATATGTAACAAGCATATGATGTCAATCAACATTTGATTGATCAACATTTGATGATCTCCTTCTACTGGTCCACAATAGAAAGTGTCCTTTCATACTGCCTCATGGTGTGGTATGCTATGGGCTGTCCCGTGAATCCGTGGTAGAACGTTGCCTCATGAGAGTGAGGAAAATTCTCAGGGATGATTCACACCCTGGCCGGCACTTTCTTGATCTCCTGCCCTCAGGCAGAAGATATAGAAGCAGGATTAGTCACACCGACAGGGTAAAGAACAGCTTCTGTCCATGGGCTGTAAGGCAGCTGAATGAAAAGATAACAACAGGGCAACTGACTTTGGGGTTTGGTGGGTGTGCGTCAGTAAACTAGGGGAATTAAGACTAAGAGAGCTGAGTGGGGGGTGCTGGTGTAATCTCACTTTATACAAGTTGTACAAGTGACTATATTTCAATATATTTCAATATGCAGTCCCGGGGTGAAAAGATTTGCCCGGCGCCCCTAGGGAGCTGACACCACGCTTAAACATTATCTCTGCTTGGGAAAAGAAAGCTGCAAACATAATGCTCGTTTATTATAAAAAATGCACTTCTTCTTATTCTTCTTTGGCGATCCCTCATAGCCAAGTAAGATTGTCTTCCATGAACACAGTTTTAACAGTGAGTCCGTAAGTGACTGTGGAGGCCAATTCTGAATCCGTACACTGTATGTCCTTCTGCACTGGGGACATAGGTTTCCAGGCAGGAGTTGATCATGGTGAGGGTTTGCCAAATGTGCCTTTCTCTTAGCTCATTTCTCCCTTTCGTCCTGAGTTTGAGTGTCTTCAAAGCCCAGGACACCTTTGGTAAAGGCTGTTCTCCAACTGGAGTGCTCGTAGGCCAGTGTTTCCCAGTTGTCTGTGTTTTTTAGATTTGCCTTGAGAGAATCTTTAAACCTCTTTTGTTGACCACCAGCATTACGCTTTCCATTTTTAAGTTCGGAATAGAGTAGCTGCTTTGGAAGATGATCATCAGGTATCCACACTTATTATTATTAAGTAAACAACACCACATTGTTTTTTGTTGTTGTTTTTTGCAGACTGAAGACAAATTATCTTATTATGTAACACCTTGTTTTTAACAATGTTGATTTCTTTTTAAATTCAGAATACCCACGTTAGTCATGTAAAATAGTTTGATACAGTATGGTATCAAATAGTTTGATACAGTACAGTACAGTATGGTATTGGTTTTCCTCAAATTCTAAGGTTCTCCTAACACCTTAATCCTTTGCTTTAATACGGGAGACCTTAAAACAACATGCAAACATATTTAAAAATAATTAAAATTTGAAATCCACTACATCAAGCCCAAATTAATCTTCGGGAAGCTTGTAAATCTGCTTTAAAAAGGCTCATTTTTTATGTTTTTTAAAAAATCTCTGTCTAGCAAATTGGTTGGTCATAAAACATGGTTTAATGTGGAAAATGAATCAGCCCACAAAAAAGTCACTAAAAGTGATGAACTATGCAGAGTTAGCAAAGTTAATGGACAAATTGCGTGAAAAGGACAACAGTGATTTTGAAAAAGAACGGGAACCTTTTACAATATATTTGCAGAAACAAACAAAAAAATGGACTCACTGGCAGGATTTAAAAAAACATTTACAATTTTATTTACAGAAAACAAAGTATAACAATGTGATAACACAGTATTATATATAAACAGCAGAATGTAACATTTGATGCAATAAAGCAGAAATGGAAGTTGGGGGAAGTCAATAGGGAGGGGGGGAAATTGAAAAATGAATGTCTAGTAATGATATTGGATATTTGCTGTGGGAAAATAAAACAAATAGAAATTATTATTATTTTTTAAAGTGCATCAAACATTTTCTCAATTGGAGCCAGGGTTAGTTTGCTTTCATCTCATTAACACATACTGTATGCTTCAGATACCAGTTAAGAGATTTTGCGTACTATTGGTCGGATAACGTTGTTAACATCAGTAGAATTCACAACACCAACAATGCTTGCCCCTGGCTTCAACTGCTGCGACTGTCACTGAAAACAAGGCATTGGTCAGTCTGAACCGTGCCAAGTAAACTATGGATGTAGCATATTCACAACACAAATAATAATAGACATAAACTTTTATTTGTATCCCGCCCTCCCCGGCCAAGACTGGGCTCAGGGCGGCTAACATCAAATATATAACATTGGTATAAAATCAAACAATAATTAAATTACCTCCTAAAAACAAGACAGGATCAAATTAAAATCTAATTAGATTTTAACTGTGCTAGTACTTTCTTTTCAAGTCTAATTCCTGAATGGGTACAGAGGGAGTCACTACGCCCAGCCTGTGAAAAGTTGTGGAACTTGGCTATCAGACATTTGGGAAATGTGATCGTTTACAGTGCAGTCTTGCAACCCAGCGTCAGGTTCCAGGCATAGAGCAGCAAAATCCTTGATATGGTCGTCAGTATCGATTGCTACTTCCTTTTCAATGCTGATCATGTCTAGGTTGGTCAATCTTTCTTGAGTCATAGTTGACCTTAAATAATTTTTTATTAATTTTAATTTCAAAAAGGATCTTTCACCTTCAGCTACCGCCACCGGTAACGTTAAATATATACGTAGCAACATGGACAAGTTTGGAAATACTGACGTCAAATTATTTGAATATACATAATTGAAAACATCCAGCGGAGTTGTCTCTCTATGGAAAACAATAGGTAATAGTTCTAGCTCATGAAATAAATCTTCTCCGTCTATATCAGCCCCACTTTCGGAAGTCAATTTCTGTTGCAAATTTAAGCACTGTGCTCTTTTCTGGCCTGTCTCTAATTTTCTCCATTTGTCTATATCTTGTAGAAATGAAAAATTGTCATTCTGTTCACTTAACAGTTCAAATCTTTCATTTAATTCTGCGATTGCCACATCAAACAAATAAAAAAAAATTATTTAAAGTTGTTCTGTGGATCTGTGATTTGCTCATCGGTATGCTCAGAACTGAAAAATCTTTTTCTGGCACGTGGGCGTGCAGCACTTGTAAATTTGGTTTCACATTCTATTTCCTCAGCAATAGATTTAGCTTCTAACAGCATTTTGTCAAACGTGGAGTCTGTACGATTTGTAGCTGAGTCATTTTTGACCTGCTCTATCATTTTAACTGCTTCCGGAAGAACGACACCAGACTTTTGTTAACGTTTTACTAACAGTATTAATTTCCACTAATATGCTATACAGCGTGACTAAAGAACAAATGAATTTGAAAGACTTCAGTTTCAACATCAGCAAACTTGCTGTGCTCCTTGTCTCTCTCGCTCTATCTGAAAAAATGGAATATAAGGCATCGTAAACCTTTTCCATATTAAAACAAAATGCTTTCAACGCCTCCACTCTGCTTTCCCATCAGGTGTTTGATAATGGTTTTAAGGTGAACAGGTTTGGAATTGCCCAAGAAGATGTTAAATTGTTTTTGTATGCCACAACTGCTGCTTGTATTTTGTTAGCTAAAAAGTGGAAAACCCAAGAATTACCAACAATAAAAGAATGGCAGATGAAGATGATGGATTTTTCGGAGCTAGCTGACCTCACCAGAAGAGTCCGCGACCAGAAGGAGGAGGAGTATCAGGAAGAGTGGGATAAATTTAATGATTATCTAGTTAAATTTGCTAAGTTAAATTAATTGAAAATAGCTTGCAGATACTTAATTGGCGTAGGATTTTATTTATGTTAAGTGATGAATTAATATTCCATAAGGTGAAGATTTAAGGATGTTAATGTTTAAGTTAAATTTCATAAGAATTGGGATTTAGAAAACCGTTAAAAGGACATGCAATTAAATTAAACCAAGGGGAAGCGAGGAAGTCACTTAACAAAGTTAATAAGTGTAATTTTCAATAAGGCTATGATTTATGTTCATTTGTTGTGTGTTTGTTCATTTGTTTATAATATTGTGAAAACTAATAAAGTTTTTGGAAGGAAAAAAAAAGATAATGGTTTTAAGGTTAAAGTGGGCCCCTGGTTCATGAGAATTTGCCAACGCGACGTCGACCCAGAAAAGAATACATATATTTCTTGAACAACAGAAAAAAAGTTACTCACTTCCAATGAGCTTTTAGTGGCATCAATCACTACTAAATTGAGGCTGTGAGCCGCACAAGGAATGTAGAAAGCACATGGATTTATATCCACGATTTTTGGGGGGAGGCCTATATTTTTGCCTCTCATATTTGCGCCGTTATATCCTTGACCTCGCATGTTGTCTAGTTCAATATTTAAAGATTTTTAAAAATCCAACAAAAATGTTGGGAGTCCTTGTCCGGTAGTGCCGGTCACTGGGGAAAACCTAAAAAATGCTTTCTCACCTCAGCATTTGTTGTTAATGGGTTAAGGTGTACAAGCCCAACAGCAACAGTAAGCTGTTCCTTGTGTGAGACATCAGGAGTGCCATCCAAAATAACAGACTAGTATTTGGATTGCTTCCTCTTACCTTTCTCGCCCTGATCCGGCCACTATGATCCATATGACGGTCACCTCCAGGCTTGATTATTGTAACTCACTCTACATGGGTCTGCCCTTGAAGCTGACCCAGAAACTCCAGTGGGTGCAGAATGCCGTGGTGAGGCTCCTTAAGGGGTCCTCGCCGCAGGATCACATTCATCCAGTGCTTTACCAGCTGCACTGGCTCCCAGTGGAGCACAGGATCAGGTTTAAGGTGCTGGTTTTGACCTTTAAAGCTCTATGTGGCCTAGGACCCTCGTACCTACGGAACTGCCTCTCCTGGCATGCCCCACGGAGGACCTTAAGGTCCACAAATGACAACATTTTTGAGGTCCCAGGTCGCAAGGTGGTTAGATTGGTCTCAACTAGGGCCAGGGCCTTTTCAGCACTGGCCCTGACTTGGTGGAACGCTCTGTCACAAGAGACCAGGGCCTTGTGTGACTTTCAGCTGGATTTACAGAATCTACTTTCCCCTTTCAATATGTTGTTTTTCAGATCTTGGGGGTTTTTTTATGGACAAGAGATGACCCGCACTCTTTTCATGTGTTTCTATATTTCCAGATAAATGCCTTGTCTTTGAAACCTGACTCACCATTAAAAGCAGTGACATTATTGTTGAAAAGTTGACAATAAAAGCAGAATACGGAATCGCTAGATCTGGAGTACAAAAGCCAGTCTCTATTAACGGTTTCGTTGTTCTTTAACTTTTTTGTGTAACAAGTGTCTGAAAATGCCCTATTATTATTACCATCTGTAGGGTGAGCTGATTGTTTATCTGAACTGGCCCTTGATCTATTAAAATCAATCTTAACTTCTCCGGGACCAGTTGAGGCCACAAAGAAGGATCCTCCATTGCATCTTCATGAAACGTCGCTTCCGGGGGAATATCAGACATCGAGGGAGACTCAGTTGCAAGTGCAGGTGTGCTGTGAGTCGAGGCTTCTGCAATAGGTGCGGTAAGTTCTAAGTCTCTGGAAGGTATTTCTTCTATGTCCCTGGTTGCAGAAGATGTACCTGTTAAAACAGTAGACCTAGTGAGCCCTTTGTGGGTACAAAGCCAAACTGGGGAGAAACAATAATTTAAGGTCGGCTGTTGTGCCATGTATGTCACACGGCAATTGCTCTAAACGGGCTGCAATGCCAATATCTGCCTAAAATCCATCCATAAAAGTAATCTGGAAACTTGCCATTTAATACTTACACCTATTTATTTGCGAGATTTGCATAAATCCTCTCAGCTGGTTGAAATATAAACACTTAATAATAAATGTGCGCAAATAAGATACGTGCAGAAAGTAAGTAGCTCACTTACTAGGTCGGAAAAAAGTTCCGATTGGAGTCGTCAACTTCTTTATGCTTTCTTCTTTCTCAAGTTTTCTCTTTCTGTTTTTGGAACCTGAAAGTTTATTTTTACCACCAGCCATCTGCAAAAATTAAGTAAAAAAGAAGCAGATAAACATGAAGTTGGTGAATGAATAAATAAATATTGGCCAAGGCTTGTGTCTCGCCAGGTCCCCATTTGGACAGACTCCGCTTGGCTCGGTTCCTCCCTGTCCGCACTGTCAACTCTCGGTCCTGGACTCGGGTGTGCAGAACCCGGCACAGCAGAAGAGCCCGCGGCAGCGGCGGCTGAGTGAGGCCGGGCGCCTGGTGGGGGCAGCACACACTGGCCATGCAGTCGAGGCACGCAGGGCAGATAAAGAGGTTTCACTGGAAATTCACCTCCATCAGAGCCGCCAGGAACAATAAACCTTCTGCTCTGGGAAAAGTCCTGGAGCTGTGGTCCCCTGCGGTCTCTCTTCTCACTGCACTGCAAATAATCAATGGATCTCTCTCAGTGGCTACTCAGAAACACTGAACAGTGAAGAGTTCAAGGTGGAATCTTGCTAGAGTCCATGCAAGAGCTGCAACGCAGCAGAGCTGGCAGCCACCCAATAATACTCAATCACTAATTTCAATTTCCGATTTCTGATTTCAATGTCTGATTCTGATTTCTTTTTTTAATGCTTTACTGTTCAATATCACATCTTTACAACACCACCTTATTATCATCAGATCAAAAACATCATAAAACGCATAAAGAATATAACAACTTTCAAACAGTAATCTTCATGAACATTAAACTTCCCGTCCCTTTCATATCTTTTCCTTATTAATAAACTCAATGCTGATTTATTATTAATGGAAGATTACTGTTTCTATATATTTGTCCTTAACATATATTATCTACAGAAATTACTCGTTTCTTACCTGCCCCCTTCACTGTGTATGTACGTGTGCTAGCTAGGAGGCACTGTCATGGTCCAGGGAGTCTCGTAAATGAGAACGGTGGCACCACGTGCCTTGCCAGGTGGGCAGTGTGCTCTGGGCAGGCCATCGAGCTGTGCAGGCAGGGCAGAGCTGGCCGTCTGCCTCAGCGTCGCGCTCAGCCCTGGACTCGGGCACGCAGAGGCGCCCGAGGAGTTAGTTGCTGAGAAAGGCCAGGTCAGGAACCTGGGGGGTGGGCAGCACGCAACGAACGCAAGCAGAGCCCAGTGCAACAAAGGCATCGGCAACTGAGTGAAGCCGGGCACCTCATGGTGTGAGCAGTGTGTGCTGGGCGGGCCTCTCCCCGCCCCACGCCAATCCCAGGTGCACATGAGGGTGGAGCCGGCTGGCCACCTCAGCGCCTCACTCACCCCCGAACTCACGCAGAGCTGCCCGCAGCAGAAGAGCCCATGGTGCTCTGATGGGCTCTGCTCTCCCCGGACTCCAACTCTTGGCCCGACGCCCCTGAGAGCCTGGCGCTCAGGTGGCCTGCACCCCTGACTTCCCCAGGTTAAGACGGCCCTGCTCTCGCCTCCAGCTTCCCCAGACACACCCCACACTCCTCTCTGTGGTCCAGGGGGCGCTCAGCGCTGGCATGTCCCGTCGAGTCTTTCTTCGGGACCCCTCCCCAGAAGCAAAGCCGGGGCCACTGCCTGCCCAGAGGCGTCTGCTCCCTCCGAAGGGGCAACCAGAATGAGGACATCGGTGGTGGCGGCCCAGGGGCCCTTTCGTAAGTGCCGTGACCCCTCCTCTGCGACAGAGGGCAGCTGCCGTCTAGGGGGCCGTAGCTGAGAGCTGGGTCCGGGCCGAGAACCCAGTTCCTACCTTCTCTGAGCTACGCTAATCTTGTAGTGAAGGCTGGGGGTCGGAGGGTGAAGGTGCCCAGCTGCCCTGCACCCCCGACGGGATGACTCTTGGGGTTTCTTCCAATGCTACAATTCTGTGCTTCCGATTGCCCCTCACCCCAACACACCCAAACCTGAGTCAGGGTGCAAAGTGTTGGCTGTTTGCAATATGGTAGCACTGCAGAGAGCTTGCTGGGGAGACCATGCATTAAAAAGGGACTCAAAAATAACTTAAACAAGGTTTTAATAAGAAAAACAAAAACTCCATTTACACTAACAAACCAGACCCAACCACCAACCCATCCCCCAGGGTAATGGGAGAGCTAGGTGCTGCTCCTTATATACTACACCCAAATGCTGACACACCTTAATCAAATACAACTCAGCAGCACCTGCTATGTTTCACAGCTGTAAAGCTGGGTCTTGTTATCTTGCTCTGGCCCCTTAAAGACATACACAGGGTGCAAAGGACCCAAGGCCAAAGTTTCAGGTCCCAGACCGGGCGCTTTCTCTGCCAGGGCTCCAAACCAGCCCCCAAGAGGCGACACTCTTCTCCCTGACTAAACACGGAAAAACTTCATGACAGTAAGAGCTGTTCGACAGTGGAACAGACTCCCAAGAGAGGCGGTGGACTCTCCTTCCTTGGAGGTTTTCAAGCAGAGATTGGGTGGTCGTCTGTCATGGATGGTCTAGCTGAGATTCCTGCATTTCAGGGGGCTGGGCTGGACTGGATGACCTTTGGCTCCCTTCCTACTCTAAAGATTCTATTATTCCAAGTTCTTGTGCAGAGAGAGAGGGATTGTTCCAGGACATCCCTTGGGGCAGACTGGTGGCGTGGGGCGGCTTTTCCTCCTAGGCTTCCTCCCCCCCCCCGCCTGCTGCATGTGTCTCATAACTGTCAAATTAAAAGCTATTCCCTGCAGAGAGACTCAAAGGCACCTTCAGGGATAAATTTCATTTCTGCTGAAGCCCTCCTCCCCGCTGTGCTGCAGAACAAAGGAGAGAGAGGAAAGAGAAAGTGACAATCACTGTTCAGCCCCCGCCCCCTGCACCTCACAGGCCTGGACTTCCACCCTTCTCCTCTCCTTGCTCCTATTTTGGCCCAAATCAACTGATACGGAGGGGGGGGCATGTCTTCTTCACCTCCTTCTTCGCTACAATATATCCATTTATTTCTAATTGTCAATGTCAAAAGGGACTAAAATCTATAAAATTCATAGAAAATCAACGTGCCAATTTGCTCAATTTCTCTAGGACTCCATGACACCTCCCCTGCCCTCCATAATCCCTCAAGCAAGGTGTCAAGACCCTAATCCTGTCAAATCGCTCTGCCAAGCCTTTCCTCAGGTCAATGCCAGGTGGCAGAATATACATACATGGACCATTGTCTTCCCATCACCAGCACTCAGGAAGCGCTTATCTGCGCATATCTCCAGCTCTGCATATTCCCCCCTCCCTCCTCCATATGTTAATCCGGTGTAACCCAACCTCTCCTTAATGTATTCATGATGTAGCTGGGATGCATTTTGCACTGTATTCTGGGACATGGAGGGAGTTTCAAAAGTTCATGTCACCCCTTTCTCGCTGTTCAATCTCGCCTTGAACCTGTTGCGCAATAAACTCGGATCTTCTGCAGTTTGCTCCTGTCCGGCTGAGCTCATTTTCTTCCGCAGGGACCCGCGGACTTAGTCCGACGAGCTGGGTGGCAGAGCAGCCTCGCATCCAGATTTTACCGTAACACAACTCTCTCTCTTGTTGTGGGTCTCTCCTTCCTACAGAGGAAGGCTGACCTTGCTTAGCCCGTCCTCTGACAGGGGAGGCAGAGGGGGTTGAATGGGGAGGGGGTTGCACCAGCACTTGGCAGCACAGCTGGGGCATAGCATGGGTTGCCAGCACCCGTGGCCAAGCAAGTATTGCACCTCCCTAACCCATGGACTGCTAACACTCTCCAAGTCCCTTCCACCAGTCCATTATTGAACCCATTAACCCCCCCCAAGCACATGCATTGTATTTTTTAAGAACACACTGATGAAATTAAAAATGCATTTAATGATAGCATGCTCAAATTTATTTAAAATAGCCTGGTGTTAATTTGTGTGCATTTTTCAGTAACAGCATCAAAATTTACATTGAAATCTCTCAATTGACAGTATTGCGAGGTTACTCATTGGCTCTTGGCTTCTTGGCTCACTGTAGATCTCTGATACGTTTCAATTGATTTAAGTTTTGAGAAACTTCTTTCACAACTGGCAGCTGAAACAGTGATAGTTAAAAAGATCCTTAATGCCACAAAAAAGTTAGTCAAAATCTCTTGCAGCTTTCACTTATTCGCCCACCGGAGCAAATCTAAAGCCTTATGCAAACTCTGAAGCATTGGAGCAGCAGTTTCACCTTTCTTCGTCAGAAACACTGTCTTGCATAATAGACACAGCTTTGCCCATTTCTTCTTGTTCAATACACTTTAGATCCCTTCTAAATGTCACCGCCACTGAATGAAATTATTCTGCATAATTGGGGGCTTTCCTCAACAGCAGCATTCTTGCTATCCATTTTAAAATCAAGAAAGGAAAGAAAATGTTCCAAAAAATACAAACGGGAAAATAACTGGAAATTCAAAAAATCTGACATCAGGAATCACAAGACAGAGAAACCAGTAGGAGAACACTTCAATCTCCCAGGAGATTCAATACAGGATCTCAAAGCAGCTGTCTTATTACAAAAGAATTTCAGAAATAGACTTGAAAGAGAAGCTGCTGAATTAAAACTTATTACTAAACTGAAAACTATGGAGAAACCTGGTCTGAACAGAAATATTGGATTCTTGTCTCATTACACATGCGAAAGCTATTTTTGGTCATCTGCATACTCTCCCTTGCTTTTTCCTGTAGGACTAATTGCAGTTGTTAACAGACAGGTTGACCACACCCACCCTCCCTCTGGGTCTGGGGGCTTCTGCTTCCCTGTATCTGAAGAAGTGCGCATGCACACAAAAGCTGAGGCCCAGAACAAACTGAGTTGGTCTCTAAGGCGCTACTGGACCATTTTTTATTTTATTTTTTAAATTCAATTTATTTGGACTCCTCAGACCAAGACGGCTACCTACCTGAATCCTGAAATTCAAAAGGACGACTTTGAATCTCAAAAGCAAACTCACAATTGCAAGGAGGAAAGAATCCCAGAAGCCTCAAAACACCCACCCACCCCACTCACACACGAAAACAAAGATCACCACAGCCAATCACAAGCAAACAACCACACCCTAGGCCAGGGGTCTGCAACCTTTAAGACAAAAAGAGCCACTTGGACCGAAGAAAAAAACAAACTGGGAGCCGCAAAACCATTGCGACATTTAAAATAGTGGGGAGTGTCAGGGCACACAATGCGCCTCCTCCCCTCGCTAGTATCCGCCCCGGAGCTGCGGCAAAGGTGTAAAAGAGCCACATGCGGCTCCGGAGCCGCGGGTTGCAGACCCCTGGACTAGGCCAACCCCAACCTCTCTCACCACCAAAGGAACACAAGTGAACAACACAAGCAACGCTGACACCAAACTCTACACACATTAAACATAACAGAAACACCGCCACCCGACCCCACCCCCACCCATCTCCCCTCTCTCCACCCCCCTCTTCTTCTCTCTTTCTTTTTTCTTCTCCCCCTAATGCCTCAACAAATGAAACGGATTTGTAAAAATGTTACATGAAAAAAAAAATACGAGGCATTACACTTCTGTAAAACAAGAAAATCCTTAATAAAATATTTAAAAAAAAGCAAAAGAAAAGTCGAAAACCTCTCCTCGTCTCTTCGCTGCCTTGCAAAAATGGCCCAGAACATAAAACACCTCGCCCCTCTGCGCTAATACTATAATAACAATAAAATAATAATATATATTTACAATAATAATATATAATATTATTATATATATTATTGTTGTTTAGTGGTGTCCGCCTCTTCGTGACCCCCTGGACCAGAGCAGGCCAGGCCCTCCTCTCTTCCACTGCCTCCCCCAGTTGGGTCAAACTCGTATATATTATTTAATAATAATAATAATAATAATAATAATAATAATAATAATAATAATAATAATTTACATTGAATGAGGAGGCAAAGAAGCGGCGGAACGCACCGCCAGGTCCAGGGGAAGAGCCGCTCCGGGGGAAGCGAGAGGCCTCGGCCGAAGCGCCTCTCCCTCCGGGGAGCCTCTCTCGGCGGCGGCGGCGGCGGCGGAGGCAGCTTCGCCCCGGAGCCCAGGGAGGAAGTCCAACAACGTCACTTCCTCCCTTCCCGGAGGCCTGGCGTGGACGCGCCCTCTCTAGCCACCTCCAACTCGGAGGGCCTTAACCCCTTCGGGTCCGGACGCAAAAGCTCCTCGAGGGAATCAGCCGCCCGTCGGACGGAGGAGCTGGGCTTCTTCTCCGGCGGCCGCATCACGGGGCGCGGGTCCACACGTGACCCTTTCCTGCTAGAGCTCTCTCTCTCTCTCTATGCACCACCCGCCCCACGGAAGGGGCTGCTGCCCCCCCCCGGCCAAGGGTCAGTTTCTGCCCCTCGAGGGCTCCCCCTTCGCCCCTCACCCAACCCCCCCAACCCAACCTCCCCTTTGGATCGGGGCTTCCCTCCGTCTTCGCAGCTGGCCTCGCACCTTGCAAGCGGCGACCTTGTTCGACGGCACTCTCTCTCCTCCCAAAGCGGCTCCCCCCCAAGCCAAGACTCCCTTCCGAGGAGAAGGACCCTCCGCATCTGCAGAGCAACTGGCCACGTGTAGAGGAGAAGGGGGAGGGGCCAGCCCCGACGGGGCGTCCCTTCCCTGCGGAGGCGGGGCTTCCTCCTGCCGCCCCCTCTCCCCCGCCCCCTCCCGCGGTGGCCGAGGCACGTCCCGCTCATAAAAGGCGCTGTCTGCGGCGCTAGGGAAGGAGGGGGCGGCTGGGCCGGGGTCTCCCCTCGACGCCCTTCCTTCCCCCCCTCCGGAACGAATCCCCCGGCCTTGAAGTGCGACCCATTCCTCTCCAAAAGGCCGGGGGTGGGGGGGGTTCATCATCGCTAACCCCCCCCCCCCGTTAATCAATTGCTCTGCTTGCCTGGCCTCCCCTCGACAGGCGGGGCTCCAATCCATCAGCAGGGCGAATTCACAAACCAGATGGCAGGGCCGGCTCCCAGCCCCTAATTGAATCGTACGGGGCGCAGACACGGCGTGGAGGAGAGGGGGCGGCGGCGGGGGGGAGATGGATGGCCGGTGGGGGAGGGGCAGCCCCTCCCCCCCCAGCTCGGGTGATGCTCACATAGCGACCCTCCCTCTGCCGTCGGTTTTTTGTTTTATTAAAGATTTTGTCGATTTACAAAAGTGTGCAATGTCTCACTCTCGTGTCCCCCCCCCCAATGTAACATATTTACAAATCAATTTCATTTGTTGAGACATTAGGAAGAAAAGGGGGAAAGAGATGGGTGGGGTGGGGTGGGGTGGGGTCGGGCTCTGCCGTCGGTTGAAGCTTGGAAAGGATGCCGGATTTTTCTGGAAGCCAGCGGAGGGGGGGGCCGCTCTCTGCACATGGGCAGGCGCGCTTGGCGACGTTGCATATAAGCCTTCCTTTCGGCGCAGGCCCGATCCTAGCGGTCTTCTTTTTAGTTCGGAACATTTTGCGCCGCCTTTCTGCCCCCGTCCCGTCCCGTCCCACACAAGTTATTCCCCGTTGAAAACACCCCTAACCCAGAAGCAACGGGAAACTGCGAGCCCCAAGGTCAGTAGAAAAAGGTGGCGGACTCTCCTCGGTTGGACGGCCATCTGTCAGGGATGCTATAGCTGCTGTTTCTGCGTTCCGGGGGGGGGGTGGTTGGACTGGATGACCCTCTGGAACCCCTCCCAAATTGACAATTACAGGTCTGAGGCCACCACCCCAGCTGTGCCAACCAAAACCAAATAAACCCCAAAGCCCCTCGATTTAGCGGCAAGTCCCCTGCGGGGGCCCCGTCCCCAGCCCCTCTTCCTGTGCTTGAGACAGACTTCTGGGGGGGGGTCCTCTGTGGCGACTCCCCTCCACTCGTGGGAGCGTCTTCTCCGCAGGAGATCCGTCGAGGGTTGATGGTGAGGGGAGACGCTCCCGTTTTCTCATGCGACGCCGCCCTCGCCCACCTTCCGTCCGCGCCGCTTCCTGGCTCCGGGACTGCCCGGTTCCTCAGTCGGCCTTTCCCTTGAAAGTTTGTGTCTCAGGCTCCCGGATCCCCCTAGTGCCCCCCCACCTGCCCCAGTTCTTCTCAAACTGGAACCTGGCATCGTCATCTGGTGTGTCCTTTTATTCAAAATATATACACGCACACACGACCGAGAGAACCGGGAAACTGAGGGTGGGGCGGGGGTGCGCGAAAGGCTGGGGGAGCTGCCCCCACCCCAAACTGGGAGGGAAGGCAGCCCCCCTTCCCTAGAGGGGTGGTTCCTCGCGGAGTCGCCAGAGCTCCAGGCCCAGCCGTCGGGGGCCCCTTTTGGAATGTGCTAAATGCGGCTTTCCCATAAGACACCCCCAAAAACCACCACAGTCCCCTGTTTCCTCCGGGTGGGTGTCCCAGTCTGGACTCATGGAGGAAAGGCAAACAGCAAGGACACGGGGACGGGGGGGGGGGGGGAAGGAATCGAGATCACAGCAGGGACCAAACCACGACTGAAAAATAATGATAATAATAAAATTAATTGATTTTTTTAGAAAAAGAAATTGCACCAAATCTTCCACGCCAGTGACCGAAGGAGGAGGACGGGGTGGGGTCAGCTGGGGCCAGAATAAGGGGGGGGCGGGTCTGAGGTGCAGGCAGGGATGTGTCGGGCAACGCATGGACGACATGCAGGGCGGGACGGGGCAAGGGGTGAATGGACGGGGCGGGCGGATAAAGATGGAGGGAAATCGGGGTGAATGGAATCCTGGGGCGTCAGGGAATTGGGGTGCAGGACGTCGAAAGTGGGGCCTCTCTGTTCTTGGGCTGGGGCGCCTTCTCAAGCCCCTTTGCTGGCGTGAGGCGGGAGAAAGAGAGGGAGGTACGGGGTCCGACGGTTCAACCCCCCGTCCCTTGGTTCGATGCTGGGGGAGCGGGCTGGCCCCGCGCGAGGCTCTCAGTCCCCCACGTCGATCTCCTCGTCCTCGTCCTCGCCCTCCTCCTCGTCGTCGTCGTCCTCGCCGTCGGAGAAGGGGTCCGTGGCGCGGAGCGAGGCGCCGGGCGAAGACGGGGGCGAGGCGCGGGGCAGGCTGCCCCCGCGGGCCCGGGCAGGCTGGGGCTGGGGCTCCAGCTCGGGCATGCTGGCCAGCTTCTCCAGGGCGGCCGGGGGCAGCTTCTTGAGCGACTCGACGTCGGCCTTCATCTCCTCCAAGTCCCGCTTCAGCTTGGCGCGCCGGTTCTGGAACCAGGTGATGACCTGCGCGTTGCTGAGGCCCAGCTGCGCCGCGATGTGGTCCCGGTCGGCGGGCGACAGGTACTTCTGGTAGAGGAAGCGCTTCTCCAGCTCGTAGATCTGGTGGTTGGTGAAGGCCGTGCGCGACTTCCGACGCTTCTTCGACTGCTGCCGCGGCCCGAAGGCGCCCAGCGGGTCCCGGCCTGCAGAGGGAAGCAGATGAGAAGGATTCGCGGTCAGCCGCCCCCGCCGGGCATAAGGGCCAGCGCCCCCCATCCCGCACCTGCCCTGCCCGGTCTGGAGTCGCCAAAGAACCTGCAGCCGTCGGGGGGACTCCAGAGCTACCCCACCAGGGCTGGAAGCGCTTCCTCTGCCTGGAGACCTGGCAAGGCCTCTCGCTACCCCTTCTGCTGGGGTCGGGAGAGACCTCTTCCCCTTGGGCGCAGGAAAGCGTGAAACTGGCCGCAGGACGAGACCCGACGGTAACCGAAACCCAGCGAGTGCAGTGGGGGCGCCCGGAGAACGACGGGCGACTTCTAGCTTAACCTCCCCGCCCCGAAGCTGAAGCGCGGAGCGGGAAGCCCAGGGTGCTTTCGGGACGCGGAGCATCTTGGAAAACCGACGGCCTCCCCTCTCTCCCCATTCAGTCAGGCGGACACAGTTCTCGTGGGGATGGAAGGGCGAGTGGAGGAGCACAAAGAGGGACTGTGCTGGGCGGCCGCCCTGGTTCAAAGGCCTTGATAACATTTTGTTGAAAACCAGACTCTGGGAAGCCCCGGCCATTTGCTCGCACGACGAAGCAAAGGCGCTCAAGGCGCCGGCCTTTGTCCCAAAGAACTGGGCTGGCGGGGGGGGGGGGCAGAGAGAGAGAGAGAGAGAGAGAGAGAGAGAGAAAGAGATTGATGTTTGGCACCAAACTAAAATTTGGAACAAAATTCCAGATCAAGGAATAATTGCTACACTTTTATCCTGAAGTGAGGGTGGGGATAATAATAACAAAATAATAATAATAATAAGAATAATAATAATAATAATAATAATACTAATAATATTAATAATAACAACCGCATAGCAGTGATACTTTCTTTCTTCCTCCTGACTGTGTGATGGGAAAGGAGAGCGAAAGTCTCCTGCTTCTATTTTCCCATTTCTCCTTTCCACCTCTCAGAAAGGCGCGCAGGAGGCAGTAATGAAACCAAATGGCTGTTCCGAAGTGCGGGACCCTTGACCTCAGCTGCTGGCGGGGCAACCCTCTGGCCGCCGCCGAAGGACAAGAGGTCTTCCTCTCCCCTCGTCCCGGACGAGGACCTTCAGGCCGAGGGAGGGAGGAGACCAGGGACCTGCCCGAGACCAGGCTGCGGTTGAGCCCGCGCGAGGCCTCGTCTAGAATTAAAACGATTCGGCCCACAGAAGAGAAGCCGGACCCCTCCAGGAAGGCCTATTACCTCTCGCAGAATTAATCCGTTTGGGTGAATCCACAGGATCAGGCCCTTCTCTTCAGGATGGGCTCATCCAAACTAATGGCCCCTTTACACTAATTGCGCGCTGCGCTCAAATCCTGCTTTCCTCTGTCGACTATTTTCGCAAATGCTGCTCAATTTTCCCCTTTCCCAGGTCTGAAATCCGAATTTGTACACGTGAACTGTTTGAGCGTCCTGGGAATCCCTTAGAAAAGCGTCATTTGTGAATGGTGGGGTGGAAAATGGGACAGAAAGAGAAAGTAAACCCATTTCCATGCGCCGGAATTTAATTTCAATTTAATTTATTGAGATTCTGTTCCGACGCATGATTTGCACTTCAGCTGGGGGAAATGCAAAAAGGTATTAAACTGAAAGTTTGAAAGCGCCCTGAAAAAAAGAGCAACAAACCTGGATTTAAAATGGGTTTAAATTCTCTTTCTGTCCCATTTTCCACTCCACCATTCACAAATGACGCTTTCCTAAGCTTTGTTGTTTCACGATTAGAAGGAAAATACCCGCCGCCTCCCTCGCCCTTGGCCAGTCAGAATTTTGCCCGAAGGGCGCCGAACGGGCCCTGGTGAGGCCCGGCTAATTTCACCACGCAGGGAAAAAGGAGAGTTTCCCGGGTTCTTTGGGAAAAGAGGAACTCAAATATTACCCATTTTGGCGCGGGGAGAGAGGCGTCTGAAACATGCTCCCTCATATTTATATTTAGTTGAAATATGGTTTTGGGGAATTGCAAGCAATTTAAGCTGAAAGACTGGCGAGGAACATCCACCCAAGAAATACGGGAAATTGTAAAATATAAAGAATATGAATTAATATAATTAATTTGAACTAATTACGTAATGTCCGATTGCGCCTCTCCACGAGGCTCTTTGGGTCCCTTTGAGAAGCGACGAGAAGGAGAGTCCGGGGCCTTCACGCGCTTTTTGCCCAGGGCACAACTGGGGGGCTGGCTGTTCCGAAGTGTGGCTCAGCCAGGAACAACCTTCCTGAATTCCGGGCTCTGGCGGAAAATTGTTTGCTCGGCCTGAAAGGGTTTTAGCCGCGGCGACGACTGGAAGGTCCAGCTCCCCGGAAAAGTGGAGGCGAAATGTTGTCTCTCACTCTCAGTAACATTTTTTAAAAAGAGGGGTGGTGGAATCCTTTGAGGAACCGGATGTTAAACGGCGGGTTTTTTTGTGGGATGGGGGTCCGGGCAGGGCTGTGCCCACTTCGATTATCCGGCCGTTCTCCAACCGGCTCGACTCCCGGATTTCGCTCCTGGACATCGGAGCAAACGGCCCCGAACAAACTAGCGCGTTTCCCTTTGTGGTTTAACGCGATTCGGGGCCGTTTTTCGGCGCTCATCCTTCGGCTAATTTGAATCGAGAGTGTCTCTCTGTGTGTTGCAGGGGCGGGAAGGGGGGTCACTTTACAGAAGCAGAAGGCAGAATTAAATCGCAGTCGTGTGGAACCCAGCAAGGAGAAATTATCGCGCGCGGTAAACGAACCCAGCCGCCGCCACGAACTTGAGCAGCCGCCAGGAACGAATTCGCGCCGTTTAGGCCGGTGGCATTTTTCTTTCTCGTCCGGCGGGACCGAAAGAGAGAAAACGGTCTAGTTTTGAAAGACCCAACGCGGCAGCCATTTGCTGTCCTCGGAGCGCAGGCGGTTTGTGTGTCGGTTCGCGGTCTGGACTGACTCTGCGCGTCAAGTGGAGCCAGCGGGACAGATAAACAAATCCAGGCCGCTGACATAATATTGACTTAACCGGCTGCGGATTCTTGCGGGGCAGGAAAAAAAACGATTAGAAAGGCCAAAGGGGAGGAAGCGGCGTTGGCGTTGGGGGGACCCTGTGGAAAGAGGGCTGGGCGGACCAGCCCTTCGCCTCCGACGCCGCTAGACCTCCGCATCAGGATTTCCGAAGCGGCGGATGAGTCTCTTCCTCGCCTCCGGGAGCTCCGCGCTTTTCTCGGGAAGGCGAGGGCAGCGGCGGCTCCTTGGGACACCCGCCAGCCCCGCAGGCGGCTCCTGGGCTTCCCAAACCGCGGAGGAGGGTCCGAGCCTCGCCCTTCGCTTTGCCCGAGAAATCTCCGGACAGGGGAAGGGCCGCCGCTTCCTTCGCTTCGCAGCAGCGGTTGTGGGAAGGTGGCCCCCGGGTGCCGCCTCGTTACCGAGCCTGCCCAAGCCCCGTGGCCGAGAGCCCCCGAGGAGGTCACCCCTCGGAGCGGAAGAGGCAAGCGCGGCCCTCCGCCGCCCCGCCGCCGCCTCTCCTCTCCCGCTCGCCCCGACCCCTTACCTTCGGCCGCCTGAAGCACGTTCACCTCGAGCCCCTTGAAGGTCTTGCTGGCCAGCTCCTCGAGGGCGCAGAGCGGAGAGGCGGGCGCGGGCACGCCGTTGCGGGGAGGTCCGGCCGAGCCGGCGACCTTGTCCAGCAGGCGGGCGGCGGGGGGTTTGCGCGCCGAGGGCTTGCTGAGGATGTCCTCGATGCTGAAGGGGGTCAGCGGCTTGTTGGAGTTGGCGGGCGGCGGCAGCTGGTCCAGTGGGCTCCGGCGCCGCTCCTCGGTGGCCGGCTGAGGCAGCGCGGGGGCCGCCTTCCCTTCCTTAGCGGAGGTCATGGCCCGGGGGAGGGAGGCGGGAGGGAGGGGGAGGGAGCCCCCCAGCTTCTCCTGGAGCGGGGATGGGGCTCAGCACCCCCTTGGGGTCATGGTGCTGCTGCAGATCCCCCGGCGCTGTTATCTCTGCGCGCCAGCCGCTCTGAGCCGCCCCCTCCAGCTTTGAGCGCGGAAGCTCCTCTTCTCTCCCCCCCCCCCGCCCCGCTGCCCGCTGCCCGCTGGATCCGGGCCTAAGAGTAGAGCGGCGCCGCACAAGGGCCCCCCCGGCCCATCCCCCTGCCTGGCCTTGCCCGGCGCGGCTTGGGGAGTGGGCGTCCCGTCGGGTCTTCCTTGCCTCTGGCCGCCGGTGAGCCCGTTCAGTCCTAGCCAAGTCCGCCCGGGCGCTCCAGCCTTAAAGACGCACAGGCAGGGCCATCAATTGGGCACCCGGGTAGGAGGAGCCAGCGCGGAAGTGTTAGCAAAGTTTCAGAGGGGGGAGCGAGTGGGGGGGGGACGCGGGGAGGGGAGGGGGTCCCCGCTTCTCCGGCCGCCTTGCAGAAGCGGCCACCGCCCGGCGGCTCTGCCTTTGCTCGCAGGCCTGCCTGGGGGCTCCCTCGGCTCCACCGCTGAGCTGGCGGCCCCGATCCCGGGAGCGGCTAGGCCTGCGCCAGGGCCCTGACCCGACAGCTTCTCCGGCTCCCCAAGCCGAGGACAGCTTCGGCTGTGAAGCAGCGCCTTCCGGGCTGGCCCCTTCTCGGCTTATCACGCTGGGCCTCGCCTCTCCAGCTCCCGGTATGTGTGCTCCGCGGTGGTCCCCGCTCCTTCCAGACCCTTCCACCGCCCCCTGCCAAACTGGCTGTAGATACAAGAAGGGCAGCTGGGGTGGGCGATAGAGGACCCTGCCTCCCCCTGCGGGACTCATCTCTGGCAATTGTCTTAAGCTGCCGCAAGTGTCTCTGCTCGAGGAGCCCCCTGAGTTTTGGCACTGTCTCTTCGCGCCCCCCCCCCCCGCCTCTCTCCAGGAGCTTTATGGAGCCGCCTGGATCGGGTCTGCTTTGGAGGAGGGGAGCCTTCCTTGACCAGCATGTGGGGCGCCCTTTGCGGCCTTCCCCTCTGGAGAGATAGTCACGCTCCCTCTAGCGCAGTTCCTAATCTCCAGTCGCCCTTCTGTGGCGAGGATTCTTCCGAGCCGGGTTCTTCCGGGGCCCTCCGGCTGCTTCTCCTTCGGGCGGCGGCGACCCTCCAGCTAAACACCCCTCGGGGGTTTGTGGCAGCCTCGCTTATTGTTCTCGGGACTCTGGCTTTACCTCGCCGCGCAATTACGCACAACTGCAGCGCCTTCACCAGCTTGGCGGCCCCGAAATAGCCCCGCGGGGACTTCGGGGAGAGGTTTCTCTTCCTCCAGAGCCACGGAGGGGTTTCCTCCGCTTGGTGTAAGGGAAAAAGGAAGGAAGGGAAAGGCAGGCTTCGCACCCCGCGAGAGCCACTCCACGCTCTCCTTCTCGGGCGCACGGAATTTTGTTGCTGCTGCCGCAATTGTTGAAGATGTGCTTTGTTATTACAATGACTATTGTTGTTACTGTTGTTACTATTAGTAGTAGTACAATCAGTAGTACTCTTTGTAGTAGTACTATTATTCGTGGTATTACTGCTATTATTATTATCTTGGGCACCCTCAGGTTCCCCTCTCGCTCAGCGCCGGCTCCGGCTTGTCCTTGACGTGCGTGGCCCGTAGGATCCGAGACGCCGCCCAGAGGAGCCGCTGCCTCCGCTCCAGGTTTGCCCCTCGCGTCTCCCTGTGTGCCCTACGGACCCTCCTTCCCCACCCATCGTGGCCACCTTGGGGTCTTCTTCCCCCTTCCCGGCCCTCCGCCCTCCGGTTCTTCCCCTGCGCTCTTGGGAGCGAGCCCGAGGTGCAGGGCGGCTTCGGCGGCGTCCCAGGGTCTCTGGTGGATCGGGCCCTCCGGCTGCTTGCCTCGCCGCCTGCGGCCCAGCTGGGCGCTCCGCTAGGCCCCTTCGCCACCCCCGCCGCTAATGCAAGGCAGACGTGCAACATCCCCGTAAAGGGAGCCATAAAAAGCGGCTCCCCCCCCCCCCAGCGCTGTAAAGAGCATTTCAAAGCCCCCCGCGGGCCGCCTGCTGGGGAGGGGAGTCTGTAGACAGGCTGGGCGGCCCCGACCTCCCCCCGACGGCTAGCCCGGCCTCTCCGGAGAGAGGGGCCTCCATGGGGTTCCCCACTCCCCTCCAGGATGCACCCCGACTATTCTAACCCCCCCTCGACTGCCTGGAGTTTTATAGCCTCCCCAGTTCTAAATGGCCCATAAAAGCGCCGCGTCTGGGAGTGATTAAGGCCCGCAGCGCGGGGCTTTGGGCAGGTTTTGAGTTTCACTGCCCGGACCGGCCGTAAAAGCCTCATACAAATAGCTCCATGATCCCGCACGCTTGTAAACCCCCCCCCTTCCCTCCCTCCCAGCCTGTCCCCCTCCACAGCCAGCTGCTGAGAGGCCAGGCCCGTCCTGTCCAAACCTCGGGTTCGCCTGTGCGCAAAGGGCTCCCGGTGGACGCGCACCGAGGGCCCCCTGTAGCCGGTCGGACTCGGCCAGAAGGAGGCACAAGACCCCGAGTAAAGCCCACAGCGCAAGCAGCAGAAAAAGAGGGAATGGGGGCGGTATCTCTGAAGGTTACGGGGTGGGGGAGGGCAGGAAAATCCCTTCCCTCCCATCTACACCCCAAATGTAGGCGCACAGTCATATAATTGGAGAGTTGGAAGGGACCTCCGTGGGCCATCTAGTCTAACCCCTTGCAATCCAGGAAGCGCAACTAAAGAATCCTGGACAGATGGCCACCCGACCTCTGCCCGGAGGACTTCGCCAATGGGCGGAAGAGAAACGGAACATGGACATCAATATATCCCAGAGCCATCTCACACCTCCGGAGGTAGCGCGAAAGGCCCGGGAGAAGCCGGCAGCGCTCGGTCCGCATTCCGCTCGCCTTCCGCATCCGCCCTGCAACCGACTTCCACCACCTTCTTCGCCGCAAGCCAATCCATGGCATCTTCTTCGGTGTGGGCGCGCGGTATCTGGGAAAGTCCTAAGAGAGTCGTTCGTCTTACAAGCCGTAGTCTCTGCCCACAGAAGAGGCCGGAGGAAAGAAGGGGGAAAGGGCGGGTGCGTTCACACGAGACACGGCAAAGCACTTGTGGGGGGCCTCTCTGGCTGTGTGAACGTGGCCAGTGGCCCCGGGCATCTCAGAGCCAGCAGCCCCGTTGCCTGCTGCTCCAATCACCCTGAAAGGCGACCATAAGACGCCTGTTAGCTAGAAACCCCGCAAGATTCAGAAAGTCGCCTTTTGTTTCCCACTCCCAAACATTCATGAGGATAAAAGTGGCCCTGGGTTTGTGACAGGAAGGTACAACCTCCGCCGGGCAGAATGCTCCTTCGCATGATAATCGCCGCCCCGCAAGAACACCGTCTAGACTAGCCTTTAGACGTTCAGTTTACAGGCCTGGAGCACGAGGGTCTCTGAGCCTCCCTCCTCGCCGGCGAAGGCACTGAAGGCCCAGCCTCCTCGCGTGTCGGGCGGCGGAGCTGCGGGCCTGATCTGTGAACGAGGTTCGGACGCGCTGTTTCCCAGTCCCGCAGTCCCCGCTGCCCGACCCCGCATCCTGACGGCCGGGTGGAACAGCAGGTGTGAGGCGCAGGCGGCGTCCTGCCCTGCCCGGGCCTGAGAAAGGCGCTGGCGGCCGGGTCGTGGCTGTTCAGGGCCAGCCCAGTACAGCCCCCAAGCAGGGCCGGCTCCTTCCCGGTTGGAAAGGGGTCGGATGGAGCCGCCTTCCACCCCTCTATCGTCTCTTGGTCCCTTATTTAATCTTTTGCTTCCTTTAGGTTAACACAGAACAAAGGAAACCTATAGAAGATAAATATTTGGAAAGTTAGAAGGAATCTGTCAGGTAAGGGGGTGCCGTGCGCTCTTTCTAGAGCTGTAAGGGTTTGGAAAACCTTTTTTTTTAATTAAAGAAATAAAATTCTCAGCTGCAACCCCAATAAGGCAGTACATCCCCCTCCGTTTTTCCGGTTGCATTTCTTTTCGGCCCAGCCTTCAAAGGGGAATCGGGCCCGTTCCTGCCCGGGCTGTCGGAGCGCCTAGGTTGTCTGTGGCTGAGGCTCCGCTCCTTTTGCCCGAACCCGGTCGGTCTCCTACTCCCAATTCCCCCCCAAGAAACCTGGAGACGGG